AGAGAGAGAGAGAGAGAGAGAGAGAGAGAGAGAGAGAGAGAGAGAGAGAGAGAGAGAGAGAGAGAGGGGGGACAGGGGGGAGGGAGGGAGAGAGAAGACACAGACGCACACAGAGATACAGCGAAATGAAAGAGTTCATGTAATAAGCATACATGATTTTGTATCACAGAAGCTGGAAAAAAAGTTACTTAGTTTTAAAAGTAAGTTCTTCCGATAAAAAGGGAGGACCAATTGTATCTAATTTTCCTTAAGGTTAAAAAAAAAAAGAAAATCATAAGTTCCTTTCTTTGACTACATAAGAGTAAATAGACAACTAAGCAACTAAACAAGTTACAATAAATTTTATTCCCTTTCCTTTGTACAGAGGTTAGGCTAATTCATAATAATTGTGTTTGTAAGGTCACTTGTGTCATGACTTACTTGTTAAACATAATCTTTACCACCGCAAAATTCTTTGATCTAAATTCCACCGCAAAATGTATCAATCCACTCATCCACACACAGCAGTAGAAAACACCACTGTCTTTTATCTAAACATGCTCCCCCCCAACATTGGTACATTGGCCAAACAGGTGGTACTTAAGCTACACTTGATCAACTAGAATGCAGTAGACTGTGGATGATCAGGTAGTACTAAATGGTAGACAGTCATATCACGGTTGGGTAGGAATTCTGTAACGAGCGACCACTATGAAATAGAGTGTTGTTAGGGTTAAGGTTTGTATGGGTTAGGGTTAGGGGTTAAACCGTGAAGGTTAATTCTTTATTGCGTTTGTTGGAGTGGTCGCTCGATACGGAAGTCTTTCCCCCAGTAGACCAGCAACTAAACCTGTATGCACTTGTTAGTGAAAGTGAAATTTTGTAAAATTGCTTTTCTATTTCTATTGCTGGGTCTGATGCCCTACAGCTGAGACTTTGACTTACTCAGATAACTGAGACATCTAAGAAAATTACACCACCAGTCGTGACAGGTCAGAAAGCTTCATCAAGACATCAATTATTGCACTACTTGGAGAACAACCCACCTCTAGTTCTAAAATCAGATCGAGATCTACTAGTACTAGAGTAATACAGAAGACAGAAACACTGTCAAATTTTATCACTAGCAGAGATTTCCTGTTATCACAGTTATAATGCACATCGAAACCCCTAAGTGATTATCTAACATCTAAATTTCTTACAACATATATTCATTTTAGCAGGACTTCTGTAACCAGCGACCACGATGAAACAGTAGAATAGAGGACTAGATTTAGAGTTTGGGGTAAGGGAAGAATTGGGGTAAGGGTAGGGTCAGGGAAGGAGTAGGGATCTAGGTCTCTTCTTTGGAAGTGGCTATTCTCACCCTGAGTCATAGCAAAAAATACGATATCAACCTCTCATCCCGGGTGAGACTTGCTAGCATAGATAGGCTAATCTCACCCGGCGTGAAACAAACCCTGTCTTCCCTAATTTCTGAATACTATCTATTGGTGTGGATGATCAAATTGAAGAAAACCAAGAAAAAAATTATGTTATAGTACAAAAGTAAACTAATTTGGTAGTCCACAAATTACATGAAATATTCGAACCCTGAATTGCGTCCAGCATGACGTCCAACCCTTGTTCCTAAATTTAATATCTCACTGCCCACAGACAAAATTGCACGCTTTCAACACAAGAGTGCTGAAACGTTTGTTCACGGTGAATGCTACACTGGTTGGCCTAATCTATCATGGTGAAGGCACACCGGGTGAGAATAGCCAAAAGACTTGCTTGCGCTATTCTCACCCGAATGAAGGTGGCCTGAAAAAAGGCTAGCTCTATTTCTCCGAACGTTCGGGAAAATAAACTTCGAACTTTATTTCTCTGAACAGTTTCCATTCTCAAGATTTGTTCATAATAAACGAATGGAGTGGCCCCTGTGTGTGTGTGTGAGTGTGTGTCTGTGTGTGTGTGTCTGTGTGTGTGCATGTGTGTGTGTGTGTGTATGTCACTGTGTGTGTAAGGTGTGAATGGGGGGCGTGGAGGGATTTTTTTTTTACATGGAGGATTTTAGTTTTTGCTGGGTGACTAAATGCAAAATAGGTTTAAACTGCCAAGGTAGAGCAGTCTTGTTTTCTCGCAGTACCTTTTGAAGGTATATTTCAAATGCCCCAACCACTACTGAAGTATCTGAATATTCAGACATTTAAAAATCTCCAGTTCTAGAAATTGAATTCGATGCAAAAAAATGCTTTCCCCAGTCCTCGCAGAATGGCAAAATGAAAGGATGATGCTTAAATCTCGCAAATAACCAAAAAATCTCGAGATCAGAAACCGTTCGGAGAAATAGAGTTCAACTTTATTTACCCGAACTTCGTAAAAAAAAAAGCCTGTGGCTATGCGTACGGCCCTCCCGTACGCATAGCCTCATAGCTATGAGTACGACCCTCCCTCCCGTACACATAGCCTCGTGGCTATGTGTGCCCCCTCATGCGTAAGGCCCTCCCTACGTACGGCCCTTAGATTTAGATTATAGAAGTATGCTCATGGCCTTGATAATCGCTCAGCTGGACCGCGTCACTTTATCGATTGATATAATCTTGGTCAAGACAAAGATCGTGTATAACAAGATAGTTCACTCCTCTATAATTGAGCCAATTAAAAAAGTATCCTCAATATTCGGTGACGCCCTCTTCGAAAATGTACGGACTTTGCGATCAGAGTTACCCTACTTGTGTGAAACTAATAAAAGTGAAACTAACAAACTGTGCTATTCCTATTCTTCTACTGGTGAAACGAAAGAGAGCTTCAAAACAAAGACAGCAGTGTCATCTGAACCAATATGTGCGGACTTCCATGGACACCCTTTTGGCTGAGTGAACTATTAAAATTTTGTTATGTAGGATCTTTGGCCAAAAGACACTCTACGAGGTCAAGATAACTTGCAAAGTCATTGGTCACTATTTATAACTTTGACCTGTAATTTACTACATCTTTTTCCATGTAAGGAATGCTGAAATTTTTCATTGAAAAAAGGTCAGTGTCTATGCCCTTTATAGCCTATATATTAGGGTAGCAATGACAAGGAAACATCAAATTTTCATCAAAATTGCTTAAAAATGGGCTTCAATGAAAATAGAGTAAATTCTAAGAACTATGGTTTTTAATTTAAAAAATCCATTGATAAATAAAAAAGTAATTGGGATTTTTTGGGGAAAAATTTTGAGGGACCTTAGGAAAATATCGCCAGTGGGACATGTCTTGATGTATTTTGAAGAAAAACTGTTTCATAAGTCTGTAATGAATTGGAGTATATGAATAAAACTTGGCATCTTCATGTTATTTTTTTTAGTGCAGAATCTAGCTGCTCTATCACTTTTTCGATGTCTTTATTACTTTGGATCTTAAAGACTAATATTTGCGTGAAATTTGTTGAATTGGGTGACATCGTTTTTACTGCGACGCGATCACCTCTTCTAAAAGTCAGTAAAGCGGTATCGGGAAAACCCGCAATGAAGTCATCGGTGACCTATTTGGTTCTAGGCAGTCAATCACATGCAGACTAGTGATCACGCGCCTGCATGCCGGCACCTCGCGCACGGAATGCGTGATCTAGTTTCCATCTCTAGTGTTTTATCAATGAATGGGTGGTAATTTGAAGTTGGTACGTAAAATGAACTACATGCAGAGATCTGAAATATTATAGCAATAAAGAAGACAAGTCGGGCGTCTGTGTGGTCGGCAATCAACCCACAGCCCTGCTTACTTTTCGAACCACAGTGGAAATTCGCACAAACACGGCAATTTCTCTGGTTCTAGAAATCATTTGGGATTGTACGCAGGCATGTTGTTAGTTCAACCTTTCCTCTGATTGGTAGCCGAGTTTCATTTATTTTCGTCAACAAGTTTTCCTGTAACTATAGGTCTACTTAGAAGAGAGTCATTTCTGATTCCGAGTGGCCCAAAAATAACCCCTCGGACGGAGGCCGATTTCTGGCCCAAGGCGCAGCGGGCGATTGGCATTGCTATATAGGGCCTGCACGTTTCCTGAGTAGCCCGGTTCACGCCCTTTATAAACTAGGCTAAGGGCCTGCGCGCTTCCAAGTTTTAAGTTGATCCACTTGTAGGGTCCGGTTTGATAGTTTAGGGCTTATTATGTGAAGTGGACGGCCGTACACATAGCCTCGATGCTATGCGTACGGGAGGGCCGTACCCATCCGTACATATAGCCGCCAGCCACTTAGAAAAAAGTATAAGTCCCTGATGAGCCTGATATTTTTCTTTTTTTGTTCAACTAGAGTCCAAGATCTAGATATCTAGATCTAGATCTAGGTCAACACTCATGAACACCAAATAAGCGGTTAGTGCATGAGCAACATATTTTATTATTGTTTGCGCAAGTGAAAATGCAAGGCCAAGGCGATTCGGAATATTGGTGGGTTATCCCGTCGTGTCCGCTATTACTAATAATAATGACTTGTGACACATAAAAGTAAGGCTGGATTTTCTGGAATAAATATACAGATCTATTCTCTCTCTAGATCTAATAACACTTACGATATAAATGACATTCAGAATGATGAGCGAATGCCGCGAACAAGTAAAACCACCGCACACCATTCTTGTTTAGTCGTTTATCTCTTTGGCACACCAAAATTAAATGAAGAAAGGGTGACTAAATGCAATGATCTGGTACCACAGAGACGTCAACATTAAATGTCACTATGTAAAGCTGGGCCTAGCAGTTCTATCCTCATAAGCGTACGAATACGTACCAAATAAATAATTATCGTTTATACATTTTGTGGATTGTAGATTTATTTTACTCCTTGAAAAAGATTTATATTAATTTATAATAAATTCTTCACCCACACTGCATGTTAAAAAAGATTTTTGTTATTTTTTTTCCAAAAGTTTCGAACAATATTTCAGGTCATGGAAAATCAGGGAGGGTTCATGACCTCAGTTCGGGTCAGAAAGTCAGAATAGGCCTAGATAGAAACCTGAATCAGGTGGTGCCTTGGCCAATGTTCTGTTAGGCTACCCAAAACATGTGTTGTAACTGTAAAGAGCATGACTGGCTTTCATCACCCACAGCAATGCACAGGGGTCAAATTAGTGGAGTGTGCTGACCGTTGAAACTATGTCCGAGACAGCATGGGAGGAGACGCAGCAACCCTCAAAACAAGGGTTGCGGATATCTCCGTCTCAGCAAATGATTGCTTCCAGTACCGGTGCCCTTCTTACATCACTTATGAGTGAGTCGTAGATCTAGACTTTTCTTGATATTAAGTAATTAGATTTATTGTTTACGAAAACGCAGCTTGATTTAAGTCATATGTTAGTGAGTGACAAGAGAACTAAAAATCTAGTCTGAAAATTCGAGAGAAATAGATCTAGAGTCTAGGGTACTACTAGATATAATATAGATCTAGATATAGATCTAGATATAGATTCTAGATCTAGATATAGAATCTAGATCTAGATCTAGATTTAGATCTAGATCTAGATCTAGATCTAGATATCTACTTAAGAATCTGGGTCCCGCTTGGGGATATCAAAGAGTCTACATAACAAGAGGGGCCACTCCTCTCTTTGAGCCAATTAAAAAAGTGTCCTCAAAATTCGATGGCGCCCTCTTCGCAAATGCGCACCCTTTGCAATCAGAGTTACCCTACTTGTGTTAAAAAAATTAAAGTGAAACTAGCAAGTTCTTTAATAAATTTCGGAAGTACGCTTTTTAAAAATGGTAAAACCTTTTCCGGGGGAAGGGGTGATTGTTTTCTTTGTTTAATTTGACTTTAGAATGAAAGGTGAGAGGTCATTAAAATAAAATAAAAAACGAAGTGTATACAGACCCTGTAACCGGGAACAAAGTCACGAAGTATACAGACCCGGTAGGGGAACTCTTTTGTGATTTCGGGAAGTTTCAGCCCCCAGACCTGGTAGAAATCTAGTGTGTGTGTGTGTGTATGTGTGTGTATGTGTGTGTGTGTGAGAGAGAGAGAGAGAGAGGGGGGGGGGGGGTGCTAGCAAAATGTAATGACATGCCCGAGTTGGCAGGAGGGAACGAGAAAAAGATAGAGTGTGAAATAGGTGGGGATGAAGGAAAACAGAGACAAACAAAGAAAAAGAGAAGGCGAACGATGCACACACACACACACACACACACACAGAGAGAGAGAGAGAGAGAGAGCGAAATAGAGAGGGTGACTGCTCGATTCAAATTATGACATTGTTCTTTTAATTGCGTCTTGCGATTCCTCCAACTCCAAAACGGAGGAAAAACGATCGTTCATCGAAAAGACATCCGCAATCTTCATTTAGATCTAGCCGCTAGATCTAGATCTTGATCTAGACCTAGGCCACAGATCTAGAAGAACCTAATCTAAATCTAGATCTAGATCTAGGTCTACCCTGAGCCAAGAGGGCGCAGAAACTCTCCGAAATCAGAAAAAGAGTTCCCCTACCGGGTCTGTATACTTTGTGACTTTGTTCCCGGTTACCGGGTCTGTATACACTCCCAATAAAAAAACCCTAAAACTCCGCACTGAACGAACCCGAACTGCCGAAGAACAGCAGTCGATCTGCGCATGCAAGGAGGTGCTATTCCTATTCTTCTTCTGGAAAAACGAAAGAGAGCTTCAAAACAGACAGTAGCGCCATCTGAAGCAATGAGCGGACTTCCGGCGGACACTTTTTTGGCTGAGTGGACCATCTTGTTATGTACTATCTTTGGGGATATTTAGTTTTGACCCCACCGACCGATTACTTCTGGTTCTAAATGATTACTTTTTGATGAGTGTGCCGATATGGAGAGATAGCCTATCAAACCTAGGCTAATTGCAAAACATCAAATTATGTTCAAATTCAGGGGGACCTGAACTAATAATAATTTTTTGTCCCCATTAATAATTATTGTCATCCGCCAAGGCTAATACGGGGTGCCCACTACGGATGGGATCGGCTGATTGGGCCGATTGTCTGACTCGATCGCCTCAAAAACAAACGTGTTTGCTTTCAGTTTCAGACGATCGAGTCGGGCGATCAGCACGATCCAGCCGTAGGGGCACCCCGTATAAGAATCGTGGACTCTTTGACTCTCTGCACATACCTCAATCAATTAGATTTATTAGAACTAGAGAGATCTCTAGATTTACCATTACTTGACATTGAACTGAGGGCCAATTGGGGCAAATAGCAAATAGAATCACCTTGGATCTTATATGGGACGCTTGTTTTTCTAATTCATTGCAAAGTTGACATCTGAATCTGAATGATTTGGCCAGGGATGGTTCAAGCTCTGAGTCTGTAGGTTCGCAATTGCGTGCACAGAAATTCAAATTTTGCTGTACGCACGTTATAGCGTGCAAGGTAGGCTATCATAGTTTGCTATACGCACACAATTGCGGGCATGGCAGATCTATCATAATTTGCTATACGCACGCAATTGTATTGTGTACGTGTACTGTCAAACCTGTGTAAAACGGCCACCCATTGTCAAGGACAAAAGTGGCCGTATCACACAGGTGGCCGTCTTAGGCAGGACTGGTTAAAATGAAGAAAGCAATTCATTTCCTTCTGACTTCTGAGGTCCAAACTGGGGCTGATCTCAGATTTTAGACTACCACACGGCTAATTGAAAAGGGTTTTTGCTATCTTTTGAAATAGAGGAGTTGTGATATGAAACTGAACTACGAGTAACTAACGACTCTCATACTACGCATGCGCATACCTTGCAACACCAACACTGGAGACAGGCCAGCATCAAAGGTCAAGGAGTGGCATTCCTTCAGCATGACAAGCCTGTCGCATATGCGTCCAAGACTCTGACGGACGCCAAAACACGATACGCCTGCATTGAGTGAGAACTCTTGGCCATCGTCTACTGAGTAGAACAGTTTTACGCCTCCCTCTACGGCCAGAACTTCCTCGTCAGAACAGATCACAAACCGCTCGTCATGATCCTCGACAAACCTCTCGTCAGAGCACCTCCCAGGCTGCAGTGAATGCTCCTCAGATTACAACAGTACGATTCTGTCCCCGTGGTTTTATGCACCCCACATAATTTAGCATAATTTGATAAATTTTTGCATAATTTCTTATTATTTTCCTTTTCATTCTTTCTTAAAATTAACAGAATCGCATAATTTCACATTTTTGGGCTCAGTTTGCATAATTTCAGAATTTTTCTAGCATAAAACAAGGGGGACAGACGATTTCACCATCGAATACAAGCCCGGCAAGGACAGGACAGTAGCAGACATACTGTCCAGACTGCCAAGCCGCGGCAACGACAAGACCATCGACCTCGACCTCACCGTTGGCCAAGTCAGATTCAGCTCGGACAGAATCGAGTCACTCCAAGTAGAAACCAAATGTGACCCTACACTGAGCAAACTCGTCCCAACGATCGTCAACGGATGGCCAGACACCTTACAAGAGGTCCCTGAACCTATCAGCAGTTTTTGGTCATTCCGAGATGAACTTTCTGTGGAGGACAGAATCATACTCAAAGGTGATCATATGGTCATCCCGCTGAGCCTCCAATAAGAGACAATGAGACAACTGCCCGCAGCACACCAAGGGGTGGAGAAGGCCAGATTAATGGCACGAGCCTCTGTGTACTGGCAGGGCATTTCAAGGGACATCGAGAAGCTGACATCCCAGTGCCCCATCTGCTAGGAGCACCAAAAGAACTAAGTGCCGGAAACACTGAACCCCCATGGGAAGTCTTGGGTGTCGACTTCTTTTCATTAGACAACACCCTACACATCCTCGTCGCTGATTATTTCAGCAAGTTTTTCGTCTGCAGGAAATTCCCAAACGACTATACCTGCAAGACCACCATTGCAGTTCGCAGTGATGAAGCAGATATTTACCAAACATAGAATCCCCAAATCCCTCAAATTGGACAACGATCCCCAGTTTTCGGCAAAACCATTAAAAAAATTTGCCAAGGACTTGTGCTTTGATCAGGTCACTTCTTCCCCCGTCTACCCCAAGTCAAATGGCTTCATCGAAAGACAGGTGCAGACCGTAAAACAAGCTCTCATCAAGGCAAAGCAAGACGGTAATGACCCTGACCGTACCCTCTTATTTCTTATGCCTTCACACAACTCCAATCTCTTCCAAAATCCCAAGTCCCTCAGAGCTGATCACTGGAAGAAAACCTCATGGAAATCTCCCCACTCGACACTCCGGAAATCCAACCGATAATCTCATTCGTGAACAACTACAACACCGTCAGGACACTCAGAAATCGTACCATGACATCAAGGCCAAAGACTTGCCACCACTGACTCCAGGCCAGCACGTCAGATTCCAAGATCAACCCTCTAGCAAGTGGAAAGAAGTAGTGATCAAGGAGAAGTGTCAGGGCAAGTGGAAAGAAGCAATGATCAAGGAGAATTGTCAGGAACCAAGATCCTACATCGTAGAAACACCAATGAGAAGAACACTGAGAAGAAACAGGGTCAACATCAGAAACTCGCCACAGCGACAAATGCAGCTACCTGAAAACGTAGAATCGCCGGTTACAGACAAAACTCCGACTCCCGGTCAACCCTCGTCAACACTCCAGTCAACATTCCAGTCAACAACAACACAGCGTCTCCAACTATCAACACCTCAGCACCATCACCAGATTCACCTGCTGTGTTCACTCGTATTGGCAGAAAGATCAAACGACAGAGATAAGATAATAACATTTTCATACTCAGCACATAGAAATTAGTCAGATTCACATGGGGAGCTTAATTTTGAACCAGAATTACAAAATGTTTTTAAAAGAATTGTACTTGTACTCTTCTCCAACACAACACACTGCACATATTGTATTTTCTGTTCACTTGCATTATACGACATCAATCTAATGTAGATGGGTCTTTCCCACTAACTGTTGACCAGTGACTAAACCTGTGTACACAATTAGTGAAAGTGAACATGGAAAATAATTTGACTTTACCCTACTCAGATTACTGAGACATCTTAGAAAACTATCTGTATTCCTTGTTTTTGTCTGGAGATCTGTATTTTTATGTTCACTAAATTACTTGTGTATATATATTACTTCATCATCAGCCATTTTGGATGGAGTCTGTTTAATTACACGCATTGTCCACTTTCCAAATTGGCTTGAGGACTTGATTGGATGGGTATGAAAAAAAGCTGAAATGCTACACATGCTGCTTGAAATCTACAATGCAAGGGTGGAGAGGTGGGATGGATGGGGGAGGGAGGGAGCGAATTAGCAACAAGGACTAGGTCTAGCTCAGAGAGATCATGTGTATGGAAAAGAAATTATCAAGCAGCTGCCAGGCACCCAGTGGATGCAGTGCGCCTTGTGTGGTGTGTATCTCTGGCAGCCACTTCGCTGACGGTATAGTGGGGCAAATTGACATTATTAGTTTTGTAAGGATCGCATAACTCGAGATAGTTGTTGGATGGTGATGAAAAGGCGCATTATATATATACAAGGTTTATATATATTTACCTTTTCGTACTTTGGTAAAATGTGGAGGTAAGCGGGGTTAGCGGTATAATGAGCTTTGGCTGTCCTTTTTTTTTTTGTGTACTAAATTTGTTGACTTAACGTACTATATAGATACAGACTTCCCACTTTTTAGTTCTTGTTATTTATTGATATTATCTTCATCTTTACAATGGTTTCACGGCTCTCTAATTTTTTTGCGTCCTTATACATCTTAGGATGCACCACATTCTGACAACTTTTGTTTTCTTAAATTGACTCTCCAGCTGATACAAATGATTTCTGGAAGCTACTTTGTGGCCTTACATTTTTTTTCTACATTACTATTATTTTGTCTACTGTTCTTAGCTTAATATGGCTGGTAATGAGCCAGCTCATTAGAACTTGCTGTTCTTCTCAGCTCAGCCAAGTTAATATAATTTAATTTTGAATCCAGTATAATTGAGAGCTGTTTATTCACTCTCTTCTATGAGTTCATTTACAAAGTGCAGCACAACTGTAGTGGGGAGTGGCAGTGTGAAGTACCGATGGCATAATCAGGGCAAAAGACTACTACTAAAGGCAGCATACTTTGGAAGCATGAAGAGAAGAGATAAAAAAGTTGGCCCACATTAGCCTTTAAAGAAAATTAGTGATGATCTGATCTATTGAAACAAGTTTTTTACAGTAATTGGCAAGCGGGAGAATAGAGATTTGTTGTGTTTGCTAAACAAACCTGTCGACCCCGTCGGATCAACAAGTTTTGAATTCAAACTTTGCTTTCAATTCTTTTTTCAGTGACACCGTTGGATGTTGTGAAAATCCGACTTCAGTCGCAAGCTAAACCTGCTGCTTTCACGAAGGGCCACTGTTTTGTCTACTGTAATGGGCTCATGGACCATCTGTGTCCGTGCGTCAATGGCCTCACCCCATCAAGTCAGTGGTATAAACGACCAGGCCACTTTAATGGAACTTTAGTAAGTAATGCTGAGATGTTATGAAAGTTTTTTTTTAAAACTAGAAGTTACAGGTTTACTTGTCTGTCATGAGCAAATACCTGGTTTGAGTCACTGTTTTTGCCTGGCACAGTCAATGGATACCTTCAGAGGTTTTCCTTGCACTAAATTCTGTCCAAACCCCCCAAAAAAACATTTGGAGACAAAGAGTTAATGGGAATAAGCACCCAGTCATATGAATTTCTTTCTTTCCTCAGGATGCATTGTTGAAGATTGCCAGGTACGAGGGTGTCACATCACTATGGAGTGGCTTGCCTCCAACTCTGTAAGTGTGCCATTTGATTGGGTTTGCTCGCTGTGTAAACACAGCCAGATCTTTTGTAACTCCTCTTCCCTGTGCTGTTATCCTTCACCTGCTAGGGAACAGATGGATGTGGGATTTTGAACAAAGAATGTTTTATGTAGAATTCAGAAGACAGAAAGAGATTCTTGATTACTGTATTAATTAATACAAGAAAGTTATTTTTCTTATGTATTTATTTGGCCGTAATAGTTATGTAGTCTTACTTGAAGAGGAAGGAATTTTTTATTCCTTGGAATAAGCAGTGATCATATGGTAACATTTTTTAAGGAGATATATTTCGATAGAATTTAGGAATGAAGAAAAAAAGTGGAGCCCTATTTTTTTAAAATGTTGACAGCTTTTATCATTTTCTCTTCTGCTGATATGATTTATATAAAAATTGTACTTGTACTAAAGTTTGAGAAAAATTTATATTACGGCTTATTTGCTCATTCTGCTGGTTAAACCAGAAATAGAATGAGTTGTCTATATCTTTCCTTTGAGCTAGAAGGGAGCAGTAACTATGTTTGCTAATATTACCTGCTTTTGATGGCCTACCTGGCAGAGTGATGGCCATTCCCGCCACGGTTGTGTACTTCACATGTTACGAGCAGCTACGTACATTGATGGGGTACAGAGAGGATGTTCTCTCCGATCAGTGGAAGCCGCCGGCTGCTGGAGCTGTCGCTCGTGGTGGGTGCTCAGGAGGATTTATGTGTCACGACGTGGTGGAATCAGACGCTCGTCAATTTTTGGGCATATGGAGTTATTGGTATCATCTTATAGCCTGTCTATCTGCCTTGCTTTCTATGAAAAATATATCCATTTATCTTGGAAACAAGTCAGGATATTGGCATTTGCAGGAGGTGGGGGTCGCCTGGTTTCAGAGGTAGAGTAAGCGAGAAATGGCTGCCTAAGTTTAGATATTTCCTTATCTTGAGCGTCCGTGGAAACCTAAAATTTTACATTTTTATGCCTTTGATAAACGTTTTTCAGTAAAATCAGCACAGAAATGTGTTCTTTAATGGGCATGAAAGGTGTTGAGTCAAACTACAAAAAGTCGATAAAAAGTCCCAAACCTGCATAAAAGGCCAGTTTCTTCACTTTCATTATTTTGACGAGCACCTGATTTAACCACGCTGCTTCAACATATGTGTTCTGTGTCATTTACTTCACAAACTGTGTCCTCGTGAGATCAGTTTGTATATAGAGGTGTTGTTAGGCTAATGTATAGTGGTGTTGTTAGGCTGCATAATCATATTGTTGGACTTATACTATACATAGTTTGATTGTTCAGTTTGGGTATTTCTTGGTACATATTACTTGGGCTATTTCTCATAATGACTGCACAGGAGGATGTAGTGTTTATGCTGCAAACAGTGTAGTGTGTACTCATGTGATCAAGAACACTGACAGGTTAGCCTACTTATTCTGGGATGTGGGATTATTGTGTTGAGAGATTTGTAACACAAAGTTTGGAGGTGATTGAGAGGCAAAGTTTATACAGTGGAATATGCTTATTCTGAAAACAGTGGTAAACTGAAAGAAAAGAAAATCTCCCATTTTTTAAATCCTATTGCAGAAGCTCTCTAAGCCAAAAACTTGGCTAAACCAAAGAAAATCTGACGATCCCACAGATTTCAGTTTAAGTGGACTCCACTGTATGTGTATAATAATAATAATAATAATAATAATTGCATTTATATAGCGCATATCCATGCTCAAGAGCATGCTCTATGCGCTTTACAACCATTATTACCCCAGCAGACCCTCTGAAAACACTCAGAAACATTCTTGGCTTCCGCGGAAGCATACATTGTATGTGTATTATTGTGTGTGGTGATGTTCAAAGTTGGAAATTTCCTCACCTTAGGCTATGATGTAAAAATTAGACTCACTTCACACTAGCAGGAGATGCAACTCTTGTATTGATAGAAGAAGAAGATACATGTTCCTTTGCATCTCTGCTCAAATACTTGTCTGGGATCTTGACTTCATGTTCTGACTGCCCTTACTTGCACCTGTTCCTTTTTCTTACTCTGAAGTCTGGGCCGAGTGCTCTGCTTTCCAAATGAATAACCTTTTTGTGCCTAGTAGGGCTTTGTAACGTAATGGAAACTAAATGTGTTATGTTAATTTTTACCTGTGTGCAGTGTGGGCTGCGACCTTGATCAGTCCCATTGAGATGCTCCGGACAAAGGTACAGTCAGAACATTTGACCTACTCCAAAGTTTTCGATGCAGTGAGGGACATGGTCAAGTCTAGAGGGGTTCTTTCCCTTTGGAGAGGATTAGGACCGACACTGTTACGAGATGTGCCTTTTTCGGGTAGGTAGTGAAGTAATGACAACCGACACGAAGTAAGATGTCGACAGAGTTGTGCTTGTTAGAGAAATGTAACTGTAAGGCTGTCCACGTCGTTTTATGCAAGAAAAATTCTGAAATTATGCAAACTGAGCCCAAAAATGTGAAATTATGCGATTCTGTTAATTTTAACAAAGAATGTTAAAGGAAAATAATCAGAAATTATGCAAAAAATGATCAAATTTTGCTAAATAATGCAGGGTGCATAAAACCACGGGGACAGTTGTAAGGAAATGAAGAACTCACTTAATAAAGTACCCTTTTTGTTATGAGGCATGGACATCGGGCAGTTGGCTTAAAATCCTATTTTGCTCAGTATTTGGTTGAAGCACTGCTGATTTTTTACTCCATTTCATCAATTTACTTTCTGCACCAGTGTGAAGAATTGTTAAGATGCTAGTGGGTCATGTTTTTGCATTTCATTGTTTCTACAAAGCTGACAGATATTTCTTGTAAATTGAAAATAAAGTTTAAGCTGTTTTCTTGTTGCATAATTTGTTTTCTAGCACTAACAAGACAAAATAAGGGCAGCAGTGACATGACATTCTCTCTCTCTTTTTTTAACGTTTCAGCTCTCTACTGGGGTGGCTACGAAGCCATAAAAGCCAGTGTGCTGATCAGTACAGGACGTGACAAATTGAAGTTCTCTGAGAGCTTTTTAGCTGGAGCCTCATCCGGATCGGTGAGCAGCGACGTCATTTGATCCTGTTGCCAATTAATATTAAAGCTTTTTCTGTGGTGTCAAGTTTGAATCTATCCTCTCTCCTTTCTGCTTTTTAAAAAAAAATTAGCATTTTTGTAATGAGTTCCTGTGGAAATCAGTTGTCATCATTATTATGATTAAATCATTGTCTATCATGCGTTATTGATTGATAGATAAAAACAGTTGTTTTCAGAACTTGGTATTACATTTCTACATGTTCTCATAGCAGTGTTTTTAATACTAAGTGACAGGTTTGAACTTGTTTTTCTTTAAATAATGCCTCCAACTCCCTTTAGAGCAATGGATTCTTGATTTTCTCACTTTAATTTCTATACCCAGTTATCTTTCTCAATGTTCTATTTTGAGTTTGTGGGTGGTTAGCGGGTGCTCTGGTGTGGTTTGCTCCTTTCTTATCAAACATCCATCGTCCTTATCTCCCCTCCTTCTATTTTGTGTTTGTTACTCTCTTGTAACACCTCTAATCTTCGGCACTTAGATGACCTTATTGTGTTGCAAGTGCCGTAAAACTCTTTCTAGAATTAAATGTTTTGAGTTTCGCTCAATCTTCTTGAAAGTAGCAAGTAGATTTTCTGAACAGAAATATGTTCCTCTAAGGCTAGTCTCTTGAGAAAAAAATGATTACTGGATTGATCTCTCTGGTTGTGCAGGTTGCAGCTGTCATCACGCTTCCCTTTGACGTGATCAAGACCAGACGACAAATCGAACTTGGCCAGACGGAGATTCTGGGTAAGACTGTACTTTTCTGCTCTTTGTCTGGTGTGATGAAGTATCACTTGGGGGGGGGGGCTCTCATGGCCTAGATGTTAAGGTGTTCGCCTCTCATTCTAAGGTCCCAGGTTTGACTCGGGTAGCTACAGAAAATTTTTTAATCTAAAATTGTCTCGTTTCTCCTCCTTTCCTGCTCTCTTGCAATATTCTGTCATATGCTTTTTTTTCCACTTTGTGCCCCCACCCCTCATCTCCTTTGCCCCCTCCTCAGGGCTCCTGACTTTTTCTGCAGTCTTTCTACTGCTACTCCTTGGCTCCTTACAGCTGTCTTTCTGCCACACCCCTGACCTTCTGGTAGGAAAGATCTACACCTAACCTTCTCGGACAAGAGCAAAAAATGTCGGAGGCCCCATGTGCAAATTGCACACGTTAAAGATCCCTTAGTGGTCTAAAATCGATAAAAGTAGGCATCGGCCGCAACCCAGGCGAAATAAAATTCAACATTTCCTACCACTGAAAATGTTTAATGTATCCCACATGCTCATATGACTTTATGCAGTAGGGAGCGCTGTAAAACACTTACCAAAAAAAAAAAAAAATAGAAGTATCACTGAACAATATGCTGTTCCTGTGGGTGTTTGTAGCTAATGTCTTTTCAAGCTGGGTTTTAAAAATTTTTTTAATTTATTCATTATGTTTTTTTGTACACGAAATCTTCTTCTAAATGTATAAAAATATCTGGGAACCGTGAGTGTATGTTGTTAAATTTGCATCAAAGATCAGCTGATAGAGCAAAATTCTTTTTTAGTCCTTACCAGAACCTGAAAATACTCTTGTCAGTTAGTATAGACCAGTGGTTTTCAAAGTGGGCGCTACCGTCCCCGGGGCGGTGGCGAGAGTTTGGGGGGCGCTGTGGCGAAACTAGGCGATTGGGGGGCGCTGATGGGCGCTAAGGGGGCGGTGTGAAATTTTCATGACACGCAACATAAAAAATGATGAGGGGAAAAAAGCCACATAAAAGAACAATAACAAAAACAAAATTGATAGCTTAGGCATAGTTTACACTTATAACTAAGAACTTTCTTTCCCAGTCCGCAAATCCCATAAAGAAGATTCATCACGACAAATCTGACAAAGATGTGGCATACTTCAAAACTCTAAAGATCAATTTTCAGAAATGAAAATCAGTGAAACCGATGTTTGCAGCCAACGTCGATCAAGCTGATGAAGGCTTACGAGCAACATATAATATATCTCGGCTAATTACAAAGGCAGGGAAATACCATGCTATTGGTGAGGACCTCATATATTGCCTGCGATAAGAGAGGTGGTCAGCACCGTCCTGCAACAGAAGATAACTTGCAAAAGTAGCAATTGAAGAAGAGCTTCTGACGATGAAATATGTGACTTTGAAATCTAACCATTGTTCAAAAAGCCGTACCAGTCATTCTGGTTGAAAACTGTTGTGCAAGACAAATATCCCTCCCTGTGCGAAAAGATCAAGTTGTTGTTCATCTCTTTTCCCACCTTTTATCTAGTAGAAAGGGGATTCAGTGCAGTGACAAGGTTGCCGACGAAGCGTAGCGATTTGCGTCTGCTACTGACCAATCTGAAACCTGATGTTGATAAGTTGGTTCCGTCTTAGCAGGTCCATCCTTCCCATTAGGGTAGTGTCAATAACTTATTTGCACATGCTTACTCCGTAGTTTACCCTTACTTGATATCTCAATGTGTCTTTTCTTTTTTTCTTTTTTTTTTTCTTCCTTTTTTTAAAAAGCAAAACATTCACTTGTTTAACATAGTTTTTTATGTGCACGTGCTACCACTGTTGATGAAAGTGATGATGAAGATGATGATGATGATGATGATGATGATGATGATGATGATGATGATGATGATGATGATGATGAAGATGATGACGATGATGACGATGATGGTGATAATTACAGACTAAGATCCATGCATACTTTTTCTTTCGTGTGGTTTCTCACATTTGAACAACTTAATAATATTTTTATTTTCTACAATGGAGATATCTGATACAAATTTCAGGCAACTTTATTGCAGCATGTTGATGGGAGAAAACGTTTCATAAAGATATTGTCAATCTGTTTTCAAACCAATGATTACGGACGTTTTTATTTATTTATTTCTTGGCGTTTTGCTTCTGTAAATGTGATAATACATGATTTATTTTTATTGATGTTAATAACACTGGTCGTTTAGTTCCGATGACAACTATATGCATAAAATGACAGTATTTTGCTCTCAATGCCCTTGCATAAGATTGGAGAAAAATGTGTTTTATTATCTCTCATACACGCTTATTTTAAAACTCTGTAATGATGGCGATTTGTGACTCAACTAATATTCAGAACTAAATCATTAGAATTTAGGCACGTTACTTTCTACCCTGCTGTTTAGAGCTTTCTCTTTATTTGTGATTGTTATTATATTATGCATGTCGTTATGTCAGATTGATGGTTGGGGTGGAGTAGGGGGCGCTGGGACTCGACTGGATGAAAAAGGGGGCGGTGGGGGAAAAAAGTTTGAAAACCACTGGTATAGACAGTAGGGAGTATAGTATAACATTCTGTTCACACAGAAGTTTCTTTTGTAAAATGTATCTGTTTTATGTGATGAGGGCCTATGGCCTTAAACATCTACTCTCAAAACACCTACTCTAAATTTTTTGAAATATGTCTGAAAACAGTAAATAAAGAATCTGGAAAAACTGGGTGTTTTGATCATACATGCAGTCAAGTACCTCTGATTTGTAGCAGCAGAATGCAGATCAAAAAGCAAATCATACTGGTTAAACTATTGCACTCTGAATTTTAAGTGAAGCTACAGTTGACAACCACCCATTTCCAAGGTTTAGTTGGGGAATTCAAAAGACTAAAGGAGACCATGTAGCTGATGACCCCCTGAAGCTTTGTTGAGGAATGCAGGAAAACAGAGGCCTGTGTTGGTTCTGCTGAGTTTATATTTTGTATTTTCCGTTTTAATTTTCCACATTCACTTCATTCAGGTCAACAGAAGGAGGTGAGCTCCACTTGGAGAATCATTCACAAAATCTACGCAGAAGAAGGTTTCCGGGCTTTATACGCAGGTATCAGATTAAATAATGAATAGTTACAGTTTCCTCACTATCTTTGTGTAATAGTTACAGAGTGCTCACTCTTTTTAAAACAGACTGTATTAAGATGTGGATACATTTCTTCCTGTTTTTCTAAATTTCAGCATTTTAAGTCCCTTTCTTCATATTTTTATTTTGTAATGCTTACTGTATGCCTGTTATAATTTCTTCCTCAAGCTTTTTGTAATTCTTTCTCTATGATTTGTATAATTCTTTCTTTCTTGCAAACTGCTTCTTCTTCTATTAGCAGCCCACCTGAGTATTGTATCATGACCAGTTGATATTGCAAAGTAGAGAAGTACATCCAGATTTAATGCTTTGGTTTGATGTAAAACATTTTCCTACATATTTGGGGCTTTGGTAAAAAGGCTTCATAATAATAAATAAATCAAGGGAATCAGAACAGTAAAAGAAGCAGATGTCACTGACTCCATTTTATGATTAAAAGATGCTGAACCTGATCTTAAACTTCAAGGACTTTTAATTTTGCTCCAATACTGCTTGCAGAGAAAGAGGAAGATGCTGTTTCATACTGGCGAGTTATTATATACAATTTTGGAGGTAAATTTCTACTTGCCAGAATGGGCAAATATCTTCTTCATGCATCATCTCTTAATAACCTCAGTGTTGTCTGGGGTAGAAACTCTTAATAATAATAATAATAAATAACATTTGTATAGCGCAAATCCCCGCTCACCAACAAGCTCTATGTGCTTCACAATCTATACTATTACCCCAGCAGACCTGGAAAAATGTAGCACTTTAGGTGTGGACTCATTAACCTGTTCCCCTCGGCCCTACAGGTCTCCTACCTCGACTGGCCAAGGTGGCCCCTAGCTGTGCCATCATGGTGAGCACCTACGAGTTTTTCAAGTATTTCTTCATGAACCAGAACCTGAACAAGGGGTCTACAAATGGTTCCTACCCCGACACAGCAGATGATTCCAGCCTTACCACCAAGGATAACGCCAGCCCTGACGCAGCACAAAACTCCAGTCTTTCCACAAAAGACAAATTCAGCCAGGGCTAGACATTGCTGGCAGTATTGGAAGGCTGACTCGGTATTAGACCTCGTCTCTTATTCCCTGTTGACTTTGTCATCACAGTCAAACCGTGACAGCCCTTCATCTCAGAGACCCCTGGACAGCTTTTTTGTCTAAGATGGATTTAGGTGTTTTGTCAACGCATTTACGAGTGTGGGCAATAGCTTTAATAATATAATAATAAATAGCATTTGTATAGCACATCCCCCCGCTCAACAACAAGCTCCATGCGCTTTACACTATATTATTACCCCAGCAGACCATAGAACACTCGGAAACATTCTCAGCTTCCCGCATACTGTACAAGCAGCTGATTAAGCGCTCAAACACTAACAAACTGACAAAATCTTTCCCTGTCTTTAGCTGGGTACCCATTCCCACCTGGGTGAAGTGAGGAAAATTCGTGTAAAGCGCCTTTCCCAAGGACATAGCGTTGGGCACCTGACGGGATTGATTAAGGGTTTGGCTTAACAGGATAAAACAACTTTGAACAGTCCAAGGGTGGTAATGGTGTTGTTGCTGTCGGCGTCCTATGTCTGGATAATTTTGCTCCGCGTGTTTGTTTTTCCAGTGGGTTTGTCAGCAAGATGAACTCCACATCTGGTGGTTTGCTGGAAAAAGTCTGAGGCTGATAAGCTCAGCGGAAGAGTAGTGGTTCATGGCCTGTCTGTTCACATACACGAGAGAAGTTTATGCCACTTGTTCACTGTTGGCAGATCTTGTGTGTGTGTGAGTGTATGCATGCGTGTGTGATGCATTTAATTGTCAAAGATACACTGTGTGTGTGAACGTGTGCATGCGTGACGCATTGACTTGTCAAAGAGATACTTTCCTCATGTGCTATAAAGCCTTTGGGGCGTGGGTTATTGCTTTCACTTGACCAAGTCGGTTGTCATGGTGATGTGTGTGTTTTGTTCGTCATGCTTGTGATCTGTCTACTGGATGTTTAACGTTAACTGATCTCAGTGAGTCTGTTGTACCCAGGTGCTGAGTAACATGGTTAACCTTATAATAGTAAGTTTACCGGTCTCATGGAAAGCATTTTAAAATCCAGTTATTGTAAGTTTACAGGTCTTATGGTTAGCCTTGTAAGCTTTCAATATGACAAGCTTACTAGTCTCAGATGATGATGGGGAAATGCACGCGCCCCAACTAAATGTCGTGTTGAGCAATGTTGAGATTATTACGCACTTTCACACTTGTCTAGAGAAGAACTGACCAGCTATCGACCATCCCGACATCGTCAGTGTCAGTGTTACCCCGTGAAGACAGATGGTACAGTTAAAAGATCAGAAATTTGCCAAAGCGGTATATTTGTATGCCGATCGTGTGCTGGAAGAGTTACATAACACACTTGATGGAGCCACCTCCGACACTGCTGGTATCTAGTCTTGTTGTTTCCCTGCCCGGTTGTTAGTGTAATACCATCAAAGGAAAGATTTGTTGCCAGTTTCTTTCGCCAGTTCACCTGACCATGCCCTGTTATACTGTTACTATATTATGTCTCAACTGTTGGACCTTTACAGTTAATGTCATCTGTTTTGTCATCATTTTTAAACGTATCAGGTGACCCCCCCAAAAAAAACGTTTACCCTCAGACATCTGTAAAAAACGGTTGAAATAGAGCTAGAAACGCAAGATTTCACTGACATAATTATTTGGTCATTATCCGGGTTTATTGTGACAAATTTACAAATAAAAAGTCCTAGTTTGAATTTGGGCGATACACTCTCTGAGGCGCTTGACGAAATTGTCTACAACATTTTCAATTTGCTGAGCCTTTGGTGTACCTGGCTCTTGTACGATTTAAACTTCAGATCGTTCTTCAACATGCGCTTAACAAATTTTCCAGAAATAGGTAATTCAATACTATGACGACTAACTGACTTTTTAGGTTCTTCACTCACCGGCACCTTCACCACTGCCACGTTCTCAGGAGTGTGCACTTGCATTGGTTTCCCAGTGTGGGTGACCCTAGTTTTTGATCTCTTGTTTTTATTTTCAACAGAGCCATATATCTTGAAGTCACTTAAGTGTTGTTACTTTACTTGGCATTTTCTTATGGTCTTTGGTGTTAATTACAAACCGTTTACAGAAGAGATTCCATATCTGCGTAGGGGATTTTGTTTCGATATATTATGTTTCAACCATAAAAATACATTGTTGTACTCAAATCAGCTGTGAACTGTATTTTTGGAGTAGCCATGGCTGCTGCTTCCAAGGTACTGTTGTTTTTGTTATGTGTTTCTCCTTCCAGATGGTTCAGCTTCCTTCGTGTCAATTTTTGTTTGAATTGTGCACTTTGGTGGAGAGTTATAGGCTTTCCCGTGGGTAAAGGTTTCTTTGGGTCAGTAGGTACATTGTATGCAGTTTTTACCATTTTACTGGAGAGCCAAAAAAATTGAATCTTGTAACCAAGAAAACAACCTGCAAACATCCCACATCAATAATTTTAAGACTACAATTTTGATAATATTTTCCTTTTTATCTTTAATCCGTAGGCCCTGGGGTCATTTTGTATCTTTGGGGTTGTATTCTTCACATTTTAGAATACTTCTAGTGGGAAGATCTCTTTGAAATTTTCCGTATTTCTGAAAAATTTTTTTTGACAGACTGCTATGCAAAGCGTACGGATCGGATTAACGAGTGAATTTCCTCTTTGGAAAATGGGGGCAGAGTTCCCCACGTCGTGTGGATACGACAATAAAACACAACGTAGGGATTGGGGTAAGCAAATGTTGTTTTCTTGGTAACAACATTCAGTTTTTTAGCTCTCCTGTAAAATTGTTGAAACTGCATTTAGGGTACTTTAAAAATGATGGCAGTGTTGTACCTTTACTGGTAGCATCAACTGTTGTACCGTTACTGAAAGTGTCAACTATTATACTGTTTACTATTAGTGTTAACTGTTGTACCATTTCTGCTACTGCTTTGTAATCTCAAATTTGTTTGATTTTTTTTCATGGAAATTGTTTCGGAAGACAGAGGAATTTAAACAGGGATTAGAAAAGCGATGGGTGCATTTTTGTGTGTTTCTGTTTTTTGGTTTTTGATTTGGATGACATCCAGTTTTTGTGCTTTGTCCTTTACATTAGTATGGTCACAGACTGGTCTGTGATTGATTTTTGAATATTTAGTGCTGCTCGAAATGTGAGTGTTGACTGAGATATAGAATGTCAGTTTTTGGGTTTGAGGAATGATAATTGGTGAGGCATGCTGGTAAAATGAGTTACTTCTCGCTATCCATGAATGGAGATGTTGGCCAAACATTGACACTAGAGTCAAATTCTTTAATTTTCAATTTAACGTGTCTCCTATTATATCGTATGTAAATTATACATACTCCACCCACAAATTTGACCTGTATGTCTATTATCATAGCGCTAAAATCCAAGAAGTAACTCATTTTGTCAGCACGCCCCTCGTTTGGTTTTGAATGGAAAACAAGCGATGCAATGTAATGTTATTGTTTATATTGCTGTGGAAGAGAGGATTAAAAGCAGTGTGTAAAAAAAAAGACCACTTTTTACCTCCTGTTGCACGAAGGCCAGCTGAAAAATCTGGGTATTAGAGCATCCACGGTGGACAGTTTGTCTACTAGTGTATTTATATATATCTGAATGATATATATTAATCATTATGAAAACAGCTGTTTTTTATGTTATCAAATACTTGGTATCTTCTTTAAAGGGTTTAAATTGTTCATTGTAACACAATTTATTTTGCTTTAGACTTTCATAGCAAATAATATGATATGATAAACAGAGTGAATCAAATTAATGAAATATGTGCACTATTTCTGTATTCTCAAATGAAAACTTTAAATTTTAATGTATTTTACACGTGAAATCCTTTGCACTCCAGTGTAATCAGACTGAAGAATGAAATGTTTTCGAGTGTCCCTTTCCATTTATGTTGATAAATATTTCATTTGTTCAGTGTACCAAAGATAGTTTTGCTGAGAAATAATGAAGAAAGAGAGAGATTGGTTATTTCGGTACTGTACAACTATTACATGTACATGGTACACTGCATGTTTTATTCTCTGGACCGTTTTGTGTCTGGAGAAGCGGCTGGTCTGTGAGAGAGTTCTTGTATTGGTGTCTGTATTTTTTAGCTAATTCTCAGATAGCCTTTTTTATGTACCATCAATCAAGTAGGTTATTATTAATTTCTTGAGAGGTAAGACAGATACGGGCAACTGTTTTATTCGATTTTCATGCAGCATTCAATTCAGACCGTGTTTTGCATCCCCGTGCATGGGGTGTGCACAGGTTCTTCACTGCGGTGCCTCTATCAAAGTCGAAACTCTGGCCATAATATTGTTTAGGATGATGGTCTCATTGAAGCGAGTAGCTTTCAGGCTGAAGATGGAATGATAATAATATTGACTTGTGAATCGTAGCATTGAACTTGAGTGTAAAGACTTTCCGTGCATACCAATTGTGATGTTGCTGATTGTGAAGCTCATTAACAAGACATGTTTTGTAGACTTCTGAATGTGCACTCATCATATGACTGATCTCGTACCTTTTGTGAGTGCAGTCAATTTTTTACCAAACCAAGACTTCTGAAAAGTGTCTTGTAGCTGGTGTGGTCTATTTTTTCATTGCTTTACTTCAACAAATGTTGTCCCTACTTCTTCCTGGTGGCGCATGGCTGTTATCGTGTTGACGGAAGATAGACTGTAACTCGACAACGACTGGCAATGTCCCACGTGTTGGCTGCTGGTGCTTTCTTGTGCCTTCCTTCCCCATAGAGGAGAGCCCGGTCACATTACTGCTTTGTCAGAACATTTTTTTTTCGTCGAGTCATTACTTCTTCACAGTTGTTGTGTGTGTGGCCTGTTATTTTCTCCACCCTCTCCATTTGGAAAAGGCAAGATTGGCAAGAGCTTTTTTCAGCTTTCTTAACGATTGTTTTCTATCAATGGCTCTAGTATACCTAGTCTTGCATGCACTTAGTGAAAATTGGCGGGACGCAGAAATATTTTCATTGTGTACAAATTTCTCTATTAGTATTTGGCTTACATGTTTTAATTACAAAGAAAGTACATATTGTATACAAAAAAAATAATAATCTAGGACCTGAAAATCTGTTCACCACATGAGTGTTTTGGTTTGTGCATGTTGTTTGCCATGTGTGTGCTAGACTGTAGGCTTTAGAGATGCTGTAGTATTAAAAAAAGGTAAATTAAAAAGGAAAAGCACTTTACTTTCTCTCCCTTCAGTGTTCTGTGC